GTCGGGGGACAAATGGGTCCATAAGTGAAAGTGTGCTTTTTTTTCTCTTTTAGCTCTTTCTCTCTCTTACTCCACGCGCCTCTCACACCACCACGCGCCACCGTCTCTCCGTACCACGACTTACTCTTTTTTTTTTCTCTAATACTAGTATGTGCTAATTTTTATGTTTGGTAAAGACTTTGAACATGAAATTTAGTGCTCGATTTTATTGTCGATATATGTTAGTATTAGTCTCACAAGATAAAAACTCACTTGCTAATACTAGTAACTTTTGTTTTCGATATATCTATGTTATTTGTATCATAATTAATTAACTTTGTTTTTTGGTCAACAATTAATTGGACAAATTATTAATCGGAGCTTCATAGAGGTAAAGAGGCAAGGGACAGTGTGGTTTGTCTCTCAGGTATAAAAAGGTACCACTCTTTTTCCTCACAATGGAACAAAAAAATGAGCAAGTGGACATTAAGAAACCAAAATAAAAATCAACAGCGTCTTCAACTAAGTACTTTACCTTTTTATTTGCATATTACTGTTTAAATTGTTATACTAGCCACAATAAAAATCCATTGGAAACTTGGATAAACAGATAGTATTAATCAAAACTCCATCCGATTCAAAAGAAGTGTTGTTTTAACTTAGAAGGGTTTTGACGAGTGAAGGGAAGCTAGGGAGGATGAACAAAAAAAAAAATTGGTAAATAAGAGGATTTGGGAGTTTGGAGAAAACAGTTGAATGTTTCAAAGTCATTACCAAACCCAAAGCTGAGATACACGTGATCATCATTGGTCACACACACATACATATACTACTATTTACTTATTAAATTTGACCTTTGGGTGTAATTATGACCACAAATCTTCTATTCTTTCTATGTCCATTAAATTTTTTGCTGACCTCATCTCAGTTCTCAGTTTCTCCTCCCAAAATATCACAATCCTCATGTAAACTTGTTATGTTTTTTCACTTTAAACAAAGATCCAAAAACAATGGAAGTAAAGATAGCTTATGGCCTCATTTACAAGGAACCGCCCTTTTCTCTGTAGTAAATCATCCCTAAATGAAATTTAGTGTTACTATAATAGCAAAATACTATTACTCTTTTTTTAACACATAATCATGAAACATTAAAACAGATTTGATTAATTAGTTTTGACTTCAGAGGGTACAGAAATTTTGTTCATTTGGAGGTCTCAGACGATAGATTCCATAGATACAACTACGATTGTTCCAAAATTTTATCGTTGCAAACATATCTTGAACCTTTGATTCCCTGAAACTCAAAAGGATTGCAATGTCAAGACTCGTCGTCTTCGCATGCCTCTGCAGCTGAAATCTCAGAATCAAGTTTGTTCATTAGAGTCTCTGACATATGCTTGGCCACGGAGATCATGTCAAGGATGACGCTCGGGTCCATGCCAGACCCGCCTCTTTTGGTGAACCCACATATATGTCCCACCCGGTTCACGGATATAGACACAGCTGAGCTCATCTGTGACTCCTCTTCCGCTGTTGCATCAACTATGTAATGCGCTCCCACCTGGAAAACCAAAGACAACCATTCAACATGGATGACACAAGATTAGTAAACTTTACCAAAGAAGATGCTGATGTAAATCAAGAGAATTGAGATGCGCTTACTTTAGTTAACGTGACTATGACTGGGACACTGGAAGTGTCGAATTGTTGATACTCTTCATCGCTGATGTCAATCTCTGGTTGCTCATCATCCGCCACTTCAGCTGAAACCTTAACTTTTGGGATAGCGGTGTTGGTTAAAGCAGCCTGCAGGAGCATAGTCAATAAGTTCATTAAAGCATGCGATCTACCTCGAGGAAAGATGACTTTTGAGTCTATTAAATTATCAATTTGCAACATCTCGTAAAAGCTATGAAACCAAACAAATCTCAAGAGAATTACCTTCATGGCAGCACCCAAGGCATCCAATAGATTCCCATCCGAACTAATGACGAGGCCATCTATATAGAGGTCCCAGCAAATTTTTCCTTCTTTGATTAAAAGCGAAGATAAATTTATCCCAGCTCCTGATACCAACAAGGAATTGCTATAAACATTACAAGCTGATAACGTAACAAAGCGCAGGTTAAAAAAGAAACTGCATGAACATGATTGCAAACCTGCGCCGCTTTTGCCACCTAGAAGACATCTTTGAAGAGCCAAAGCAAGCTCAGAAGACAATTCCTCACCTCCTCTTCCCTGAGTAACAATAAGTCACAAAGTATTAGCCGC